CCAAATATCTTCTCCACATCCACTACGGAATACAACCTGTTGCCACCAGGTGTTCTAATACTCGATATCTTCCCTTGATTGTTCCACCTTCTCAATGTTTCAGATGAAATTTCGTATGTTTTTCGAATTTCTTGTGCCGTGAAACGCAGAAAATCATTGATTGGCTCAAATCAGGATCTACGTCGACACGCATATGCGTACAGTATTTATTCTAATCGCGTAAAGTATTATTTCTAATAAACGTAAATATCCAACCTTCGATGTTATCTGGCACAACGAGCCTGGACCTGGATTTGAAAATTTCCTGGACACTCCCTGTCAATATTGGGACGCGGTTTAGTACCATGAAGCATGGGAGAAAGCAGTTTGGGTTTGGATAAGGCGATGTAACGAGAAGTTTTAACAAACAAATGCAGAAGATAAAAGAACGAAGTACGGAAGAGGAAAGGAGAATGCGATACGTCTCGAAATCAATTCAGGGTCAGTATATTTTCATAAACTATATAACTACAGATTAGTAAGTCACATTCAGTAGCTACCCATGGAACTACGTCTTCGCATGGTTATGGACTACGTCTCCGCTACTACAGCTACCCATGGAACTACGTCTTCGCATGGTTATGGACTACGTCTCCGCTGTTGGCTACAGCTACCCATGGAACTACGTCTTCGCATGGTTATGGACTACGTCTCCGCTATAGCCAGCCTGTGACTGCTAATTTTAGTTTGGATAACCTTGATACGCTAATATATAAACTTTATTTTTGTAAGGTCGAATCTAGAAAGACGGGACAAATCGACAATTTTTGGAAGAATCACTTATCTAAATCGAAAAAGAAAAATTTTGAACAGATGAACGCAGAAAATGTAACTTTATCTATTTCGTCTTGCGAGCAAGTACAAATTGGCGGTGTTGGTAACGCTCAAGTGCGCAAACGAATTCAACCAAGCATTGAAGAACAAATCGAAAGTGTGAGTTTAATTTTTGTTAACAAAATAAATTATCATACACATGTAACTGACATTTTGTATCTAGCGGAAAGTCTTTATAGGCATTAATAATCTCGATGCAAAACCTATAACAAAAAGAAATAATGATGAAAAGGTACAGATGCATTTTCTTTAGCTAGAAGGTCGTGAAGCTAATTGTTTTGTGATTTGTTCCATCATTAACTGATCTCGTAATTCTTTAGAATCCGGATGATAAAATTAATAATATAAAAAAATCCCATCTCATTAAGTCAAACCATAATGATAGCTTTGATATTGAAATCAGCAGATTCAAAAATAAACCAAGAGCTACCATCTGTTCCGTCTTCTAACATTAATTGCGAAGGTAATAGTGATCTTAGTTTTTTTGAAATTTCCGAAGGAATATAATGGACTAATTTATACACCACATATGTATGTAGATACGAGCCAGAATATTACGATGCCAGTAAACGAACAAAAATTATTTATTCGTGGGAAGAGGCAATTGACAAAACTGATTTTAGAAATATTCAAAGAAGGATGTAAGTAAATAGTGTGGTTGCATCTACTGTACATTAACTAACTATACTTATGTCTTTTCAGTGGATTTTTGAAAGTTACAATCTTTCCAACGAGTTCCGTGATTTTCAAAAGATTACGATTCAACAGGTCAAGGAAAAACCGCATTTGTGCTACAAAAAAAAAAAATTCTGTAAGTATTGAATCCGATCCGAATTATGGATTTGTGGTATTTTTTATTATATTCATTATTCTCGTGATAAAATAGATGTCTATCAAATATAATGTTGATTGAGCGGATAAAACCGACATACTTATCTTGCGATCTGGCGAGTTGGAATACTATTTGTCGAAGGAAAATGTCTTCTTATTTGCCATCGGTAGTTAAACAATGCAGTTCTGGAATATTCATTGATAAGATTTAATTTTCTGATTTACAGATTAGGCGTTAAATTACAACACTAAAGCACTAAAAAATATCTATTCTAGTTGTTAAATTCTTTTACGCTACTGGAGGAAATGGAAGACAGATGGTGCGAAAATTTCTCCAGAGTCACAGAACTGAATAAAGAGGATAGAGCTAATTTTTGTAAATGTCAAATCATATTACGAAACTTGTAGTGTTACATTTGTCGTTATCATAACTAATTCGATGCTAATATCTTTTACAGCTTTTTATTAGGCTCAATTAATAAAGATAACGAAGATACCTTTGTCCACAGCACTTTACATAACTTGATCAATGAGATTTTCGTGACCCAATGTTAGAATTAGTATGGTAAGTTTGTAATCTTCATTTTTATTGAGTATCTTCCGTATATTTGTGTTAAAGGGCAAATAGTGAGAGCTCTGCTTCAAAAAGTCGACGTCTTAACAATAAGGAAAATGTTACTGTTAAAGGCAATAAGCCCGATTTCAAAATCTCAACCGATACTAAAGATGAAGTTCTCTTCGGAGAAGTTAAACCAAGAGACTCGACTTCTGTATTGGTCAAAAAAGATCTAGTCAAACTTGCAGAGTTTCAGGCAGGTACTTTTGATGAATTAACCAAAAAATATGGCAATAGAATCGGGATGATTTCTTTTGGTATATGGATGTGGTACAGTGGTCGCAGAAAAGATCCGGACTTTTCTCGTGACTAATAAAAAACTCGTACAATAGACTTTATTTATGTAAAAATTTGTAAAAATGACGACAATCGTCATAAAAAAAAAATACATAAATATCAATAGT